AAAGGTCCAGTTGCTGAAGGATTCCAGAAAAGGGAATGCGAAAGTATAAGGCTGGGTTCATACTGATTCCCATGTTCTGGAACTGTTCCCGCACAGTTCTCGCACTGTGCTGGAACTGTGCGGGAACTGTGCGGGAACAGTTCCAGAACTGTGCTGCATGCGCTGCAGCCGCCCCGCACCGTTCTGAACGACGGGAGTTGGAGAATTTTCACCGTTCTCAACGGTTTTTCTTCCAGATTTCGCTCATTTTGGCCTTATTCCTCCACCCCGCCTTTTTGATCAGCAGAACTTCGAACTCGAAGAGGGGTTGAAGAATGAGCGCTTTTCTGCGCCGTGTATTCGGAAAGATGGGCTATCTTGCGATTGTTCATTCTGTCTTCGTGTTTTTTGCTCAAAACTAGTTCATTTGTTCCAGGAAGCGGCTGCCTAGTTTCCATAGCCATCTGCCACGAATTAGGGAGTAGGAGAAATCCTGAAATTGCATGGGTTGGGACTTGTCTGTTGTTTTTCATGATTTTGGGCGTTCTCAGCCTTGTTCGTTTTTCCATGTCGTTGCTTCTCCGTTCTTTCTTCTACCCCGCTTCTCCTAGTGTTGAGAAAAGCTGTGAATTTGAAGCGGGTTTGAGAATTGAACGCTGTTCTGCTCCATGTATCCGGGAATATGGACCTTCGTGCGCTCGTCCATTCTCTCATTGCTATTTTTGTTCAGACCTACTTCATGTGTACTAACAAGTCGCTGCGTAGTCTCGCATCTGTACTGAAATTGAAATAGACAAGTCTCTAGAACACATGAAGTAGACCTGAACAAAAATGGCAGAGAAGATGGACGAGCGCACGAAGTCCATCTTCCCGGATACATGAAGCAGAACAGAGTTCAATTCTCAACCCCGCTTCAAATTCACAGCTTTTCTCAACACAAGGAGAAGCGGGGTAGAAGAAAGAACGGAGAAGCAACGACATGGAAAAACGAACAAGGCTAAGAACGCCCAAAATCATGAAAAACAACAGACAAGTCCCAACTCATGCAATTTCAGGATTTCTCCTACTCCCTAATTCGTGACAGATGGCGATGGAAACTAGGCAGCCGCTTTCTGGAACAAATGAACTAGTTTTGAGCAAAAAACACGAAGACAGAATGGACAATCGCACGATAGCCCACCTTTCCGAGTACACGGCGCAGAAAAGCGCTCATTCTTCAACCCCTGTTCGAGTTCGAAGTTCTGCTGATCAAAAAGGGAAGCGGGGTGGAGGAATAAGGCCAAACGAGCGAAATCTGGATGAAAAACCGTTGAGAACGGTCAAAATTCTCCAGCTCCCGCCGTTCAGAACGGTGCGGGGCGGCTGCAGCGCATGCAGCACAGTTCTGGAACTGTTCCCGCACAGTTCCAGCACAGTGCGAGAACTGTGCGGGAACAGTTCCAGAATATGGGAATCAGTATGAACCCAGCCTAAGTGACTAAGAAATTGCGCAGGGGTGGTATGTGTGCATGCTAAACAAAAACTAGATTCTTGATTTATCGATTACCTATCGGCTGCTATCAATTACTTGCTGCACTTGCTATGTGTTGAAATAGCAATGTGCCATGGTGGTTGGAGTGGTTGTTACGGAAGTACTCCAACTATCGATCTCGTTTTCGGCGTGAGTTCAGTTTGCAAGACGAGCTTAAAGTTTCAACATCACTCAACGGCTTTCTGTTACCTTCACTCTACACCATAGTCTATCTAGCCTCCTTTTGGAAAGTTCATATTCCTTTTACGCACAAGTTTTAGAAACTATAGAAAACTCATTTTTGATCATTTTCCTGCTCCACAATCTTGCGCGCCTAAGTCCATGTACAATTCCAGGCGGCAATCGCCAAGCGACTAAATTATATCACTTTATAGGCATAAAATATAACATACTGGAATTTCAAGATAAAAATACTATTTTATTAAAAAAAAAACAAGAACACGAAAAAAGGTGCAATTGGCAAAATATTCTGTGTAAAGCAGGTTTGCTAAGATCATCTAACAAACCTGTTTGGCACAGAATTTTGCCAATACGAACAATGCCAAGGTTTAATACATTACATTGTTATCTTGGCTTGCGTCCTATCTTCAAGATCGAGGCATGACTGTTCGAGTTGGGAACAGTTATTCGAAGCGATTTTGCTGTGATAGTGGAGTCCCTCAGGGAGGGATACTTCCTCCTCTTTTCTTCTTAACCTATACCGCAGAGTTGCCTTCTGTGCTTAGAACTCATCCAAATATCAAAATTCAAGTTTTTGCTGCCGATGTTGAAATCTATTTTTGCTACAATGAGGAAGAGTACTCTGAAGCATATACAGCGATTTCTTCTGCAATAGAAAAAATGATTTTTTGGTCTAAGAAGTGGGATCTTCCCGTTAATGCACTCAAATCCAAAGTGCTCCATATCGGCAACTCTGAATTACGTGACTATTTCTGTGACGGGGTCGTCCTGGAGCGCTGTAGCAATACAAAAGATCTTGGCATTTTTGTAGATGATCAGCTAAATTTTAATTTCCACTTTGATTCAGTGGTTAAAAAGGCTCTGTCAGCGCTGTTCGTTCTACTAAGAAGCTTTCAGAGCAATGACCCAGTGCTCCTTGTGCGGCTCTATAAGACATACGTTTTGCCACATTTAGAATATGCATTACCGGTCTGGAGTCCATTTTTAAAGAAGAACATTGAAAAGTTAAAGAAGGTCCAGAAACCATTTACCAGAATTCTCTACTACAGATGTTATCCCAGACCGGATTATCCTCAAACTCTGCCATCGTACAATATTAGACTGGCTACGCTCAAATTGCATAGCCTGAAATATAGACGCATATGTAATGACTTAGCCCTATATTTTCGCATTCTTAGACTTGAAACAAGACTAAGTCCTAGCCGTTACGGGATTTTCAGACCTTGTGGGAGAACTGGCGGTTTCGGTTTGTCTTACAGGAAGTTAGAACGTAAAAAGTTGTCAATAGCTTTTAATTCTTTTGTGTGCCGTTCCGCCAGATGGCTCAATCTTTTACCATGCGAAATTATCTCGTCCAAGAATTCTGCAGAGTTTCGAAAAAAAAATTAGCTTCCATAAATGTTCTGCAGACTTTGAGAATCGCTGATGTTTAGCCTGCTGTATTCATACTGCACATCTTTTTTTGGAATTTTTTTTTGCACACCATGCCGAAGGAAAAACAAAACAAAAAAATTCTTTCTTTTTGACCCTTTATCAGGCATGACTACAGCAACGAAATCATTTCTATCGTTCTTCTAAGATATCCAGACAGGTTTGCAGTCTCTTCGCTCAGCCGTTTGACGAAACTGAAGTTGGCGCGCCTCACTTCCTTGAAATTCCCCCTTCTCGCTCGCCCAGGGTCCCTGGCGGATTCGTCCGCAAAGGGTTAAGTGGTCAGCCAGCCCTGGTAAGTGCGGTCATCCAACGCGTCCGGGTAAGGGAACAAGATTTCGGCAGAGGAATACTCGCCACAGAAGAAGGAGAACGACCTGCACTTCGGGCGGAGCATTTTACCTGCCTCACCTGTCTATCATGAACACTTGTGTAACATTTCGTGTGATAATATTTCCTGCTACTGATTACTTGTGTTCTTTTTGGCACACTTTTGGTGTATTTTAAATAAATAAATAAATAAATAAATAAATAAATTAACGACCATGCAAATTTTTAGTTGCCTTCCTTTTGGGACCATAGCCTTTTACGAAAAAGGCAACATTTTACAGATAAAATCACGGATAATGTCATCCACAGTGTATCTAAAGCAATTGTGAAAAAAAAGATGGATGTTATTTCTTAATCCAGCTCAAAAGAAAATCTGTGGAGTGATTTCCTGCAAACTTAGCAATCATATCGGAGAAATTGATACCTTGAAACACGATGTGTGTCAAGCGGTCCTACACGGTAGTCACTGCTTGGCACACCATGTGATTCAAGCGGTCGTCAATGTGTTCAAGAAAGTGGAACTTGGAAGATAAAGCTGCAGTTTTTGCTCCACTGCAAGTCTCAAACCCTTTGGGTCAGTGCAGTCCTCTCCCCTCCCAGTGTTATCCATCTACTTGACGCACCACAACTACTGGAGCGAGTCTTCAAACACAAAGAGATGACCAAAAGGCTTAACTTCTCGAAAACGAGATCTTCCGGGCTACTGGAGGCGCTATCAGCACGACGATATTGGAAAACTGATAACAAACTAACCCGCGAGGCACAAATCGCTTTTCGCGCGGCTATATACCTTGTGTCTGCAACACGCTCCCAGACAATTGCATCGGGAAGTTCGCGGGTGCTTGCTCGGCCACAAATCATCCATGCCGCAAGCTGCCCGGTATAAACCGATATTAGACCCGATAAGTGACCGCGGCGCATCCTGTAAGGCCCGTCCGATAGTCGACCCGATTAGCATGCTTGTGAGGCTTAGGAAGAGTGAAAAATCTTTTGGATTGTCTTTCATAACAACGACTTGATGCAAATTGAGCAACTTGTTAGCTCATCGACATCATCTAATGTCGTCGATAACACTCATCCGACTCTGAAGTTCGTTTCGTAAGCATAAAAATTTAACTGTCAGACAGGACCAAACCCGAGAAGCGCTTACCGATTCTCACAAACACTTAGGGTAGCCCCATCACTGCGGCGTACCCTACGCGGGTGCGCCTTAACCTACACCGTGTAAGATGTACGGCCTTCAATAAGACCCGCGGCTCGCCGAGTGAGGTGATTGGGCCGCGACTCTCCCGATAATCTCTTCCCAATTTCAACTTTGGCCGCGGCGTCCCGGTAAAATTTACATGGGCCGCGGCGTGCGCGGATAAAATTTCAAGGGCCGCGGCGCGCTATGTAACACGCTTTGAGGCCGCGAACTTTCCAATGTCTGAGTCAGCAGGACGGGTCCGGGCGCGAATACAGTACCGCTCCCGGCAACGCGACAACCATCTCTTCCGGCGCTAGTGCAGTACTATCGAAACCTAAGTCGCTTTGCACAAAGGCTGTTTGAGTCGCAAGAAACTTTATCGCAAAATTAACAAAATATTACAATTTTTATGATCCCCTATAAGTCGAATAACCGTACGGACTCAGCGTTAGAGGAACGTGATAATGTTGACTGGCATCCGAAACGTTGAAAACTACCTGAATGATGGTAGTAATAGTACTACAGTAGTGAAATTACGAGGGTTAATATCTAGTGCGTTGTGCCTTACCTCCACATAGGGGTAGAATGTTTGGACTCCAATTGCCTTATAGTAGTCACCAGTCATGAATCTGAGTTTGTAGATTCCTTGCTGCAGTGGCAAATTCGGCGTTACCCAAGGCACTCTTCCGTTCGATTCAGTCACGCTTCAATCAGTTCATCAGGGAAGTATAGTCGTAATTTCGACTTTTTACGGAAAAGCGAGAGGAGGGAAGATCAAAAGTAGCGAAATGCCAAAAATTATGAAGATTCTTTTATCTACACTAAAAATAAGTCGCCCTATACAGTTTCTCAAAAACCTGTTTGCCATGAAACTAGAAAGCATAGGGCGTACTGTGAATCATTTGGAGGATCTTGAAGTAATGTTTCAAAAATTATTCAAAAGTTGACGATGCTCGATTCCTACTGCATGAAAAGGGCTGAAGGAGAAAGGGCCTTTTTGGCTGTTCTATGAATTGCTATAATAAGATCAAAAAAATTCTGAGAGAACAAGCACTTGCCGACGAGTTCATACCATTCGAAAGAGCTTTTCAAGTACTTTTAGGTATCTATAAAGAAAGTCACATCTTCTTATGATTGAAAACCTTTGAATATGTTTGTTTTCGGAAACAAAAGTGCATCTTTTTTGCTAGATTTTGCACTTTTTGCTAAAAACATTGATATAACAGGAAGAAATTGTGGACAAAGTAGGCCACGAACAATCAAATAACTAACCAATTGCCCATAGGCAACCAATCGTTGCTCCCTTCGAGGTATGCAAGTATGGTCACTCCTTCAGCTGGTTTTCCGAAAGCGATATCGAGCACATGTGCCGAGATCGAGGCATCTGGAGGTGCCTGCGATTTGCCCAGGGCCATCAATAACGCAAGAGTTATTGCGACTATTATCATCAGCGAGAGAATAATGAGCCCAGAGGATTTTTCTATAAAAACACCACAAGAGTCTTGAATAAATCGGTTAGTGACGAAGAGTATAGTGCGAAACTTACGGGAATGAATGGTAAACAAAGTTTTCGTGTGTGACAAGCCACACACAATGAGTGATAGTATACAGCGAAACTTATAGGATTACAGGAGCGATCTGGTCCAGCGACAAATTATTCAAAATTTGCGTCAAATGTTGAGTGACTATCGCCTAGCGTATCGCCTAGCGCCAAAGTGATCTTTCAATGGACGTAAAGAGCAATATTAAGCTTTTTCTTATCAGAAATAATTTGAAACGTTCGAATGATTATATTTCCTTATTTAAATACTCTTATAAGAGAAGACTCAACGTGCTTCTCTCCTTAATGTACGAATCTTATCATCTTCAACCGCATATGCGCGGCAAAAAGTTTTTCAAAAAGGTCATGTCGAAAAGAGCAACCGTCACATTGATGTAAACAAACGTGAGCATTTCGTATATGATTTCAGCTGCTAGACATTCCTAAATTTTCTCTTCTCGAATATTGCCGGTTTCAGCAATCTTTGACTGTACAAAAAGTTTTTTTACTCACACCAACAATGCTCCGTCGGATGAAAAAGTAGATGAGTGGGTCTTCATGACTAAATCAAAACTCAGCAACTGTCCTCTTTCAGAATGAGCCCAAGCCATTGTTTACAAGAAAAATTTTTCAGCTAATTAAGAATTGCACTCTCACTCATACTCAACGTCAGCAGCAAAGATTATCCCTATTGCATCTTTTGTCAAAGTCTTTTTCTGTTATCGTGTGAAAAACAGTCACATAAACCACTTTTTCTGAGACAATTACTGCATCTACCTGCTGTTTTGCTGCAGCAGTCCCAGAAAAATAAAACAAAAAATCTAAACGTATTTGTTGAGTAGTGATTGCTGAAGGATGAAATATTAGAAAGAGCAAGGGCATCATCACATCACGACATATGTTCAATTTCATTACAATATATGCATGGTTCTCTGTAAAATCAAATGAGAAAGGAGGCAAGCGAAACCTTTTAATGCTTTTCACTAGCATATACGATCAATCCGCTAGTTTCCTCGATAATGGGCGTTAGAGGGTGATTTGTAACAAGAACAACAACTTTAATCATTTTTCAAAGAAACGTCTAAGATATATGGGGGACTTTTTTGGAGCATCTTTTCACCAGCCAATGATTTTGTGTAAAAACTTTAGCAATAATGAAATGTTGCTTTGTGCATTGAGGAAATTGCGATAATTCTCAATTGCCATTTAGGTTTGTCTAAAAATTCTAATCTCGCATTCAGTATCTAATCTCGCATTCAATATTTCCGAAGTTCTTTTCTCGTTTTGAAAATGGAAGGAGAGTGTAGCTCATTGCCCAAAAGTTTCAATCATTCTCATCCTTGTCATCCTTAGTGCAAAGGAGAAGTAATTTCTGCATAGGTATGAATGGCAGTACTAGCAAAAATTTGGTGATGATCGCAATAATCAGAATTCAGCCAAACACTTTCGCAATCCCAATCGCCAATTCATATTTCTTTTATTTAAAAAAAATTGGTGGAGCGAAACAGCCCATTGAAAATTTTGCGTGACCCATGCTCCATTGGTGGAAGAAGGCAAAACAATTTTTTTCTTCCAAAACCACAGGAATGAACTATATTGTCTGGGACATAAAAGGTCGGTACAGATAGGCCCGTAGTAAACCCCCCATCAGGGCATCTTTCTCGACGCGGACCGGCGTTGATCTCATCGCGCCTCAGTCTAGCATCCGGCGAGCCATTGATCTGGATGCGGATCGCTTCCGAGGCATCACAATCAAGTGCCTTCTCGAAAAGGGAAACACTTGAGCTGGTTTGGTCGAGCAGGTAAGGGACTGAAATTGAACGCGCGCGTCCATGGTTCGACACCGGCTAGCGCCACGTTTTTGCTGTATTGCAGGGCGTCTTTGATAGCGACCACTATCGGAAAATCGATGATGACCGCTATCAAGGATTTCGCCTAGAAAAAACATGGATGACACAAAAACGCATTTTTTGACGAAAATTTTATGGAAAATTGAAATAACTGCAACATAAATCCAACGAAATAAATCTACAAATTCTTGCCTTGAGCAGTTTGTCAAAGAAAGAAGTCAGTAAAATCTACAAAAAAGAAAAAGAGGTTTTTTTCTTTTCCTCGCCAAAATCAGCTGTTCATCGATCCTCTCCTTTTCGGGCGCGGTTGTGCAGTTTTGCGCCGATTTTTTCTGCATTTTTTGGCAAAGCTGTGTGTATCGTAAGTTACTCAGGAGCAACTTATGTTAGATGCAGTCACCTCCTGTCTGCGTCACCTCTTCTACACACTATTTGGATCACTCTAACATCCGTTCACGTTGAGGTGACTTGAACGTGAACTGATGTGGAAGAGTTGACTGCGGCAGGTGGACAGATGGTCAACTATCAGTTGACTTGACCATCTTATAGCATGGGAACGTGGACGGTGATCAGTTCACCTCACCTAAGGTGAAATGATGGGATAAGTTGAGTTCACCTCAACTGATCGAGCTTTACTACGGGCCATAGACTCACAAAAGTCGAAGTTAAATGACTACGATGGGTGACAGAATGTACAATAAATTATAGCAACTAGTAAGAAGCTATTTTTAGGCAAACGGTTGCTATGGACAACATAGGACATTAGAGAAAGAACTTTATTTGCATTGACCATAATTACAGGCAAGGGTATCAGTACACATCTCCATTGTAGGTCGTTCTTGGTCGAGACTCGACGAACTAAAGTAAATAAATAAGATGGTGATAGCGAAAATTTTTTCGGCTGGTAAACCTCCTATTTCTCAGAAAATACTAAGAATGTGGACAGAAAAAAATTAAGCAAGCTTTGACCTAAAACACTGTAACATAACTTATTGAAGTTTTTTGTTTGTTTCAATTCAGCTGCACAGATGACTTCTGCAACAGATATTTCAATAAATTTCAGTATTTCTTGAAATAACAAATATGGATTTTTTGTATGATAAACTACTAACCCTTGGAACTTGATGACCATATCGTAGACGGAGGAAGTTGTGGTAGTTAAAAATAAATATAATGAAAAGCAAACATGCGAGAAAAGAAAGTAGTACTAAGCCCATGAGTATGCATAGTACTGCTTCTTCGTAGTCGTTTGTTTGGTAGTTCTTGGACTGATCGAGAATTCTCCCGAGCATAGCACCTGGAAAGACTATCTTTTTGATAGTAGTCAGAAACAGAAGAATATATAACTTGCCAAAAGCTATAAGGTTCATGATCAATCCAAGAACTAATGCAGTGAAGTTAGGAATGACGAATACCGGGCGATAATATTTGAACGATAGTGCGAGAATGAGAATGGAGAATAGCCAGTAGCTTCCGAATCCAACATACCTGAATTACATAACTGAGGTTGTCTGAGGCATCAAAAGGTTACAACCATTCTTGTTCATATGATGGAACAATATGCAGCAGGGTGACGAGTGAAAGATTTACACGAATTTGTAGAGTACGAGCTGGCATCCCCGTTTCCACCCCGTTCTCGAGCCAGTCCATTGTGCTTGATCTCTCATGTAGCAATTACCCTTCTTTCAATTCCGACTTGTCTTGGGTTAGCTTCCTATCGTCCTTACCATATCTCGATGACCAGCAGATCAAAATGAGCCTCACCGCTCATCCTTCATGAGGAAAGGGAAATGGGAAACGTGGAGATGGGAACTGTGAGAAATGTGCAAAACACACAAACACACATATTTTCTGCTTTATATACAGGGTATCCTTAAAAAATCTGCCTACTGTTTGATTGTTGATAACTTTCTTCTAATGAAGTCTTTCGAGAATCTTTGGGTACCATTTTGTAGAGCTGGCTTCAACTTAGGTATATAGTATGGAGCGAATCGCCGATTGCTTTTCATTACTGTAGGATTACGGTAGCAACTTTGAAGAGGAATTTAAGCCATCACAGGCCATATTTTGCCTCGGAAGCAAACAAAACAACCTACAAACTTTCACGCTAGGCTGATTAGAGTTGCTGATTTCAAGTGTGAAGTTCGCAACTTACCATAATCCTTCATTAAAAAGTTATGCGAAGTAAACAGTACCGGCCGTTTTTCCAATGTTCCCAAAAATTGAGGTTACACCGTTTAGAAAGGTTCGCAATCTTGTAAATAGTTGAGTATTGAATTCAGCGTCCATGTAAACTCTATTACACAATTTTCTTTATTTTATTTTTTTTTTGAAAATTTTTGAAACAGCAGGTTTTTTCATAGTAACACCATATGCTTAAAGTTTCTACCGTAGTCCTATAGTAATGAAGAGCGATCGGCGATCAGCTCTATACTGTGAATCTAAGTTGAAGCCAGCTCTACATGGTACCCAAAGCTTCTCGAAAGACCTCACTACAAGTGAGTTATTAACAATCAAACAGTAGGCACATTTTTTGGGACACCCTGTATATAGAGATGTAATTTTTTGCTATTATAAGTGGCCCAAAAGTAAAGCACTTGAGCAAATTCTCTTCCTACTTTTTCTCGTGCTTGTACTCTAGCAACGGAACCCGACATTGCTGTTTTGCACCAAATTTGATCTTCTTTTCCGTTAGCTCCAGTTATTTTTTGGTTCCTGTTGCCCTTCTTTATTCATTTTTCTCCTTTAAAACTTCTTTGGAGAAAATGAACGCACAATTTGGTGTCGTCTGGCTTCTCGCACCTTTCCCCGGTATAGTTGCAATACGGTGTTACATTCCAGCTCAGAAATATTTTAAGAAAGCCCCAAAAAAAGCGAAAATTAGAAGTATGCTTTTCTGTTTTACTTATGCTTACTCGAATACTTTACTATACAAAATTTTTGTCACGAGCTAAACATGCTATAGCTAAGCCGTCCCACAAAAGCCACGAGTTGATTAAGACTACTATTTTCCCAGAAAGTTGCAACAAAAAACTGCAAAAGCAATAAAAGTGGTTCATATATGAAACGAAAGGACTAATATGAATGCTTGTTGCAGAAGGATGTGACGCTTTCTTTTCTCGTTCAAAAGAAAAGTCTACTTACTTTAAAGGCAGCGTCCACCCAGAATTTGGCCCCCCATGTTCTCGTCATTCTGGGGCCTTTCCATGGCCCTGATTACAGTTCTGAACTTCAAATTCTCTAAATTTTACAAAAAACCCGATCCTTGGGGACCCACTCTTGAGGGCGCGGACGAGTTTCGAATTCCTCGTCCCCGTCGGCAGGCCAGCGGGAAGGAGCAGCAACTACATGGGTGCAGTTGCATTGCAGTGTGCAGTGTGCAGTTTCTGCTCACTACCTTGTCAATACGTGTCGGGAGGCAGGTATTGACAAGGTAGTGAGCAGTCCCTGGTGGGCGGAGTCTGATATCAGACTCCGCCCAGCCATGGACTTTCAGGCCCCTTATCTCCATTCAGAGACAACGTTAGAAGACCGGACCAACGCAGGTGCCCCTTTTCTGGGGCCTACATTCAGGATCGTCACTAATCGAAGGGGGTTAGGCTTAGCCTGGACACTGCCTTTAAGTGTAACACAAAAATTTCTTTGATTTTACTTTTATCAGCCTCGAAGAACGCAGACGGGGGATTGCCTAATATATAAAAACTATTTGGGCAGCATGTAATGCAGATCGGATTATAGAGCCACTACAAATTGGCTCAACAGGCTCTCCGCACAAAAGATGTCATAATAGGGAGAATACAGCGTTTGAGTGGTCTCTGAGTTCCTTTACGGACATACGTGATGAGGGGCATTGTTTGACTTAGGCAAACTGCCATTTCCCTTGCTAAGTTATTTCCTAGTTAAATTATAGTAGCAGTTTTAGACTTAGAGAATAATCCATACAGGGCTTAGTGATGCAGGCCCCATCAAGAGATGTTCGAAAAAAGTAATACATTGCATAGCACTAGCATTTTTCCGGTACAAAACGACAGAAAGTCTCAAGATTTAAGTCTAAACAAACCATGCCATGGCCACTTCTAGCACCGCCTTTGACCATAGTCCTGGTACCACCTTCAAGGTTTCACCCTGAAGACATTGTTTCAGGAAGATAGTGAAAGCGGATTTTTGGCGGTCAGGCAGGAGGCAGCAAAGGTGCCGCTTCTGCTTATGGAAGTACCTGAGGAGCTTCTGACTTCCTCGCACCTCTAATTACTTCTTCGCTCCCTAATTATATGATAAGACCTATGTCCAGTTGTTCGTAGGCTTTCTTGGTAATTACTAGAAAAAGCTTTCAGATATTAGCCTCATTTCACATCAAATACGGTATAAAATCAGATTTTTAAATTGATTAGGAATATTTTAGTCAATGAATCTTCAAGACGAAATCTCGAACATGTGTCTGTAAATCTTTTTCATCTCAATCATTTCGAAGTGAACGACTCCCATACTTATAGCACACGTCTTTATTTCGTAGACTTCCTTTTTTCTACTCCTCGAATCTTGGAAAATTGTACTGAACCCGATATTTCTGTAAGGCGAAAACGATTATAACTGAGATTGGAAGAAACAGCAAGATTTCCAACTTGATCCGCAATAAAATACTCCTCAACGTGATTTCTGTTTCATTTTTTTGCTTGTAAAGTAAGCAGAGCTGTGAAAAGTGATTAGAGGCGCAAGAAAGTCTGGGGGTCCTCAGGCACTTCCAGAAGCAGAAGCGGCTAGTCTTTGCTGCCTCCTGCCTGACGTCCGGATTTTTTATGTAGTTACCTGCTTAGCTGCAGCGGCTACCTCGGTAGCATTTATGGCACCTCGGGTTTCGTAACTCTCCCAAAGGCGATATCGAGCCAAGACCATGCCCGTAGAAGAAAGTGTAAGAACGAGAAGGATCAACTGAATAAGGGGAACAAATAGAAAACTAACAAAATACGTAAGGGAATAAATAGAAAACACACAAAATACGTAAATTTCACAATTTTCAAGAACACCAAGACTATTACCTGTAAGCTGGTAACTATACCAGCACCAGTCACAGCATGGCAACCACATAGGCGTTCACCATTCATCTGCCTAAAAATATTACAAAAACCTAAAAATTTGAATAAATGCTGGCATGATTGGGGTTTGTAAAAAACAGAACCAAGCTGTCATAGACATTTTCTTGTTCATCCTTGCTCGCTACCTTGGTTACAAGCATATGCCTCGTGAATAATTCAGAGGTAAAACGTCCGTTGTTGCGAAAAGTGGAATCTAAAAGCCCACAATTTTTTTTCAACTATTTCAATGAAAAGTAAGAGGTGCGACCAGAAAGTCTTTTTTATTGCAGCAATTTTTCTAGAAAAAAATGGAAAGTGAAAGGGATTGTGTTACTTTTGAAGAATAACTATGTGTAGAAAAAAATAGAAAATGTGACATAAATGTGATAAAATTGACTGTGACTGTGAATGTGATAAAATTAGAAGAATTAATTGTGAGATTTGAAACAAAAAAGCTTTTGAGGTCTGCAGAATACAATGATCACATGGAGGTTTAGCAAATAAATCGAAAAGGTTTGCTATTGATTACACGAATGAATGCTTCTGACTATTGAGTGATTCAAGCGATTGAATTCAGATTCGTATGTGACTATTGAGCAAATTAGATACAATGATTTCATTTGGCGAATTCAGAGAAGGACATAGTTATCTCAGTCTGGACAGCTGTGTCACTGGTATATATGCAATTACGTTGCTAGCATCTTCTTCCAGTTCAAACCACAAAAAGGCAATAGTTTGCTTCTCACGAAAAGTCTTCCGAAGGCATCTACTGTTTTTGGTGAAGTGCCCAAAAACATGTATTACGCGCACCCTTTTTTATGACGTAATTTGTGAATATGTACTTGACACATGTTGTACTTTCAGCTGATGTTGACAGTTGAATTGATGGCACCGTGCCTCCAATGAGGTGAAAGGGCAGCAACGCTCAAACAGCCATCTTTCCTCTCATTTACGAAACGAAATTTCTAGAAGAATGTGCATCCTTTGATTGGCAGACGCGAGAAGCAATCTATAGTGGTAAAGCGTCTGCTTCTTATCTTGTTTTCTTTTTGAAGAATGTCAGCAAGCACTGCCTTGAAAAGTTCAAGGATGTTGTGTACAGGCCAAATTTTCTGTGACTACGATGGCAGTGGTGTTAGGCCCCGGAGAGACTTCACGCGATTTGATCGTCGCGATTCAGTCGCCGAGATTTCCATTCATTTTCATTTCACATTCAAAAACTTCAGGCTGGAAAAGTACCACGACCGAAATGCAAGTTGATCGGCTGGAATGATGTTGTAACAGTTGTCTCGTCGCGATTTAGTCGCGACAATCAAATCGCGTGATCTGTCCGGGGACTTACAGACCAGACTTAACCGTACTCCTCTATCCAACTCGTATTAGATTCTGCGTTTTCGGAGCAGAACCATTCAAAAACAGCTCGCGAGGCTTTGTACTGAACAGTTGTACTGACCCAGAGCTTGGCACGGCTGGCACCCAGATGCTGGATATCGTTTTTGGGACAAAAAGCAAAGGCGGTGTCGATTTTGTTGCCGTAAAGGCACCAAGATTGCAACGTTTCTTAGTCGAAGTTTCGTTTCTTTTTGAGGGGTTTTTACGTTCAGGGTTTGAGGTCAAAGGGGCTTCGCACGAGATATTCAAGATCAAAGGGGACGTTCTGAAATTTCCCTGGTGCCAGCTCGTGCCGAGCCCTGGGTCGACCTCACCTACTCGTCTGTAGGAACCAACATGACAGCTCCAGCACCCTCCACACTATGTAGTGAAAAAATTTCAAATTTGAGGTTTCCTTCCCAATCAGGCCTCATCCATTTGTGAAGCACAAATTGTCCTTTTTGACTTTACGTGATTCAGAGTTTCAGCTCAGCGCAAAGAAAAGTCCGAAACGCATCAAAAAAGACAAGATAAAAAACCGGACGCTGCCTTCAAGATCACTTTCACATTGCCTGGCAGGTTTCGCCCTCGAGTGTCTCCTCCCCCCCCCCCCTTATTCGAAGTCTGAGCAGCAAAAAACGAGATATAGAAGCTTTTGAAGCTCCCAAATGATAAACTGCTCCGTTTGTTTAGTTGTTTTTTGAGCTATATATATGCCCCAAACAAATTTAGCAAAATTATACATAGATTGATTACATGCAGCTTCTGATCATATTTGAACAGGAAAGATCGCTAGCGTTCTTCGAAATCAAAGAGGCTCAATGTTGTAATGCCTTCGTCATCCTCAAAGTCCGATGACCCTCTATTTGTCACTGGAAACTTCGGAATTGAAAAAATTGGAAACTTGCGTGCTAGAGTGGTAATCTCCGTTCTCGCAAAGATGACGAAGACCATTTCTTGAATCTGTATGGCACAGATAAAGGTATAAAGAAAATGAAACTTTTGAATTATCGGAAAAAAATAAGAATTTAAGATTGCAAATACAAAAGTATCTGCTGAATTTTGAAATTAGCAGCATCTTCATGGAGGATCCGGAGCGTATGAGCTTTAACAAGTAGACGACAACGTGCATTTTTAGTTGTCTGCCTCACTGGACAATGCTTTCCAGGGATTCAAAAATTTTTTAGCTGGCTAAAATTATTTGGAGAGTCAACTAGTTTACCTACAGTGAAACCATGAAGCGGGTGAGAAACGCAAAATCATTTTCTAGGATTAGATCGTAAAAGAACTTTCAAAACGAATGCATTCCAAGGTAGCCGTCACAAAATTCAAACCATGACGTCACATTGTCCCACGTGGCAGCCATTGCATGACCCACCACGTGGGTCACTTTGGTCGATGTGTTGGAAAAATAACAGCATGTGAATACCTGCGTATGTTGAATCTCTCGATATTCAGACTAACACATTTCTCGAATTTTCCTATTCTCAACTCTCGTAAGTACTGTTCACACACAATCAACTTTGTCTAAAATTATGCACTTGAATAATTGTTAACATTACAATTCAAGACCCCGAGGTGGGCACAAATATTTCTCAAATACTATTTTGAGGTGAGCGATATGTGAAACTCTCGGAAAGAAGTGTACATGACTTGTTATTTCCATGACTTCTTATCATATCATTTGGATTTCAGCCAAGTTAGATCAGTCCAAATTGTTATTCCGGAATTTTTACGAGTGTAATTCATTTCTTAGGATCATGTTTTGTGAGGCGCTACACTCACAACTACTTTTTAGCTTAATGGTGACTCGCCCTACTTCACAACTATCCAAACGATTGATGCGGCGTCTTCTTTCCAGATTATTCATGCAATTATAATTACATACTTATTTCTATCCAACATGTTCCACATATACAACATAAAATCTCCTGAAAATGAAACAAGCAATGTGACGATATCACCAAAGGAAGATTTGGATGTCAATGCCTTGAAGGCAAGTTGTATAACAATAAGTGGGATTGGCTAAAGAAATGTGAATTTCAGTCATGACTAAATATGTCACCATTTAGGTTGCAGTGGCAATCATTGCACATATTCTTTCTATCCTAACCATTTTTGCTTCATTACTCGAGAATAATTTAAGAATAATATCAAAAAGGCTTCCTCCTCTTGTTGTAAGTCACTTACTTCAAAATTTGACGTGAATATGGTCGAGAATTGAATTTAGGTTGCGATTACATTGGTCTTTGCGCTGGTGTTCAATGCTGTGGCAAGTATTTGTATGTGGTTCCATGATGCACCGCATCTACCCGGCGGATATTCTCGAACCATAAGAGGATGCGCAGTATGTTCGCCCTGATGAAAAGATTACGTATTTACTAGTAATTGAAGTTTAGTGCCTAATTTGCAGGTGTTATCCTCAGCTGGATGCCTTTTTACGTTGATCAATTCTGTAGTATTTTGCACTTATCCTCCTGCACGTGTAACATACAAGACCACAGCAGTCAAGGATATAAATGTGCTCAAGGAAAGGTAATGCACATGCTATCAGGACTCGGTAATGTATCAAAAACTTCCAGCAAAGATAGCAAGAGTGATGATAGGGATAAAATGAAAAGGGAGACTCCAGCGGCAAAATCGAGCTCAAAACTAAAGGTGAAATCTAATCATAGGGTGACTTATTGTCAGGTGGATCCTAGCCTATCTTTAGTTGTCGAAATTCCAGGAAGTACAATCACCTGCGCTACCTGCAGCGACGTCTCCAGAGCCACCTCCGCCTCCACCGGTAGCAGAACCACCTCCGCCTCCACCTGCGGCAGCAGAACCACCTCCACCTCCACCTCCGGCAGCAGAACCACCACCTCCACCACCTGCGGCAGCAGAACCACCACCGCCTCCACCTGCGGCAGCAGAACCACCACCTCCTCCACCTGCGGCTGCGGAAGAAAAGAAAGGTGAAGGGCTATACGAGAATTTGGAAGTTCCTCCAGCAGACCAACTTCCTCCTCTTCCACCACCGCCTCCGCCTTAGGTAAGCAAAATTGTAAAATGTTCGCAAATCTTCAGTTCGAATAAACAGCTCCTTTTCAGATGATCCCCGAGTTAAGGCCACATTTGCACGTCTTCTTGTGTATGGTTGAAAGTGAAATAAATTCTAAAAGCAACATTTCTAACACATATCGATATTTTTTGCAACTGACAAGAGCGCAGCTGCCAACCACATGCCTCGAAAAAGAAGATTGCGAAAGATGGAATGTAGCTTATATGAAACAATGCGTCACCACTGCTCGCAGGGGCCCCCTGGCCCATATAGAACGTCTCAGCAAACTTACGCAGTGATGCTAGTCTCTCGACTATTCTTCAATCGAAGAGCACTAAGTAGCAAACAAAAATGAACCTTCCTCTACAAAACTGACAGATCAATCATGATAAAAAACCAAATCGACTAAAGTTTGCAAGGTAAAGTTAGTTATTTTGCAACCAGTGCGTCACCTCCGCGAAGCGGAGGTGACGCACTGGCCCTCCTATCCGTTTGCCTTTCTCATGTTCGCATAATGATGACTTTGAAACCCACCATGCGATGCTGAACATCACAAATGAATAGTAAACAACTGTTCATTCTTGAAGCATCTCCATGTAAGATCGGTAATTTTGAGAGAAAAGAACTTGTCGCAAAGGAACACTTGCGAATTTGATTAGATTGCTGAAATTGTTTTGGCTTGGTAGTCGTCATAAAGGTAATAGTCACTTTGAGCTAAATTTCCGTGCAAAAATCTTTCCAAGTCTGAAGGTAAAGCCTTGCCAAATCGACTGTCTAAGCGATCACCATTTCTTGGCGCTGTTGTCGCAAAAAAGCAAACTTTTTGAGCACTTTTTGGGCTAGAGTTCATGAGGCGCAGATGTACTTGCCAGGCAAATCATGACTTCGCAAAAAGTCGGATTAATGATCTAGTTTTGCGTGCCAAAAGCCGCGTGGGCCCGTTTGACGCGCAGTTTTTAAAGGTCCCAATTATCGGATCAGCTTGTGCTTTTGCACTTTTTACCTACAAGCTGGTAGGGTGCTATGACCAAAATTTCAGCTCAAGACCTTGCCTACAAAACGCTCTATGAATTTCGTGACAGACAGACATAAACACACACACAGACAGACAGACACGCGCTTTATTATAAGTCATGATTATTCGATGTCATAGTTAGGCTTTTGGACACTGCAAACGTAATTGAGTCAATCGATGGGACTGCTTGCAGCTGGTTGTATGTCGAAAGGTGCGTGTCTCGGCAGCTCGTTGCTACAATTGCTTCTCACTCCACGGAATCGAGAATTTTGGACTCTCAGAGTTAGAAGCTCGAAAGAAACAAGATGAATTGGAATCTCGATCTGCACGCGCTTCAACCATCTCTTTCCATGGTTAATGGGGAAGTATACAAAGTGACCGCGACACTTTAGGAGGAAGGAGATATATTCATATTTATATTTATAGCATCTTATATATAAAGCTGACTGTCTATTCGTATGTATGGCTACAATATGTGCGTACGTATGTCCGTAATAGAGATTTAGCCAAAAAACCAAAAGGATGCCACCGCTCAAAACATTGAGAAAAAAATAGCAATTCCGTCAAAAAAAACCTAGAAAATTCCTGACTTGCTCACAGACACGCTATCCACACCAAACATTTATACACGCTATTGCAGTATTTTTTCCTCGGTTAAAATCAAGAAGACGAAAATTTTCATGTTTCTGCCAAAGTGATGCTGCGCCGTTCACATAAGTAGTTGCTATAGACCGGTAGAAGTACAGACCTGAATTTTCAGCGCTCTACAAGCTTCGGTTCACGAGAAACACCGAATTTAGCTTTGCTTGATCGGGTGCCTCACATTAAAACGATAATTTCTCGAGAACTAATCCTATAGAGCGCTGAAAATTCATGTCTGCCTCTATTGGTCTGTACATAGTGTACAACTACTAATATGGGAACAGCACAGCATGATTTTAATATAAAGCTCTCTGTGTGTGTGTGTGTGTGTGTGTGTGTGTGTGTGTGTGTGTGTGTGTGTGTGTGTGTGTGTGTGTGTGTGTGTGTGTGTGTGTGTGTGTGTGTGTGTGTGTGTGTGTGTGTGTGTGTGTGTGTGTGTGTGTGTGTGTGTGTGTGTGTGTGTGTGTGTGTGTGTGTGTGTGTGTGTGTGTGTGTGTGTGTGTGTGTGTGTGTGTGTGTGTGTGTGTGTGTGTGTGTGTGTGTGTGTGTGTGTGTGTGTGTGTGTGTGTGTGTGTGTGTGTGTGTGTGTGTGTGTGTGTGTGTGTGTGTGTGTGTGTGTGTGTGTGTGTGTGTGTGTGTGTGTGTGTGTGTGTGTGTGTGTGTGTGTGTGTGTGTGTGTGTGTGTGTGTGTGTGTGTGTGTGTGTGTGTGTGTGTGTGTGTGTGTGTGTGTGTGTGTGTGTGTCCTCCCTCTACAGAATACAGAATGAGACCTCAAGCTCGGAGAAAGAACTTGAAAGCGAGATAGTTATCAAGGGAGGCGTGCAAGTGTTACCCAGGCAACCGCCTGGTGCCGCAGCCAGCCGCCAAAGCTGTCACCTACGCCGCGGCTGAGCTACCGTAAGCGCGCTCTCGTCGTCCTCAACCTCTCTAGAGAGATTTTCGCAGCAGCCTCACACCTCATCGCGCTGAGGTGCGAGAATTCTCTCAGACGTCGCGCTACTGCCACATATTATATATCGATCAAGACAGCAGGAAATTTGTAGTTTATCAGTAAGATAGAATGTAAAAATATACAAAAACAAAAAAGTTTCAAAAAATAAATTGATGGGATGATTATAAAATTAAATTAAAAGCATAATACAGGGTGTCCCAAAAAATGTTTCGAACGTTTGATCGTTAATATTTCTCTTCCCAAGAAGACTTTTGCCTTGCTTCAGGTACCGTTTTGTAGAGCTGGCTTCAACTTAGATTTCCATTATAGAACGAATCACCCGTCTCTCTTCATTACTGTAGGATTACGGTAGAAACTTCAAAGAGGGTTTTGAACCATGAAAGGCCACATTTTGCCTCAGAAAGGAGACAAAATAGCCTGAAAACTTTTACACTAGGCTAATTAGAGTTGCTGATTCAATCGTAAAGTTCCCAACTTATTATGATTTTTCATTGAAGAGTTATGCCAGGTAAGAAATAGCGGCCATTTTTTCAATGTTCCTAAAAAGTGCGTTTACACCGTTTAGAAAGCTTCGCAATCTTGTGCATAGTTGAGTATTGAACTCAGCGTCTATAAAAACCCTATTACACAAGTTTTCACAATTTTTTGAAAAATTTTGAAACCACAGCTTTTTCCACATTGACACCATATGTTTCAAGTTTCTACCGTAATCCTACAGTAATGAAGAGAGGTGGGTGAATCGCTCTATAATGGAAATCTAAGTTGAAGCCAGCTCTATAAAACGGTTCCTGAAGCAAGGCAAAAGACTTCTTGGGAAGAGAGATATTAACGATCAAACGTTCTAAACATTTTTTTGGGACACCCTGTATTATGAAATAAATTCTGTTCGTTTACTAGGCAGTTCCTCGTTTCTTTTCTCAATCTCAAAATTAATAAACTCTCGATAAACTCACACAAAACAAAAATCGCGAAATTTACAAGCTTATTTTTGACTGCATGAAAGAGAAATTAGGTAATGGAAATTTTAGGATAACTAGATTATGAGAACGTGATGAGCTTTTTTGTGTATTTTTTTATTGCTTAAAAATTTTATTGAAATCGAACTTTTTTGTTTTTGTGTATTTTTTGTATTATAACTTAATAATAAACTACAAATTTTCTGCTGTCTTGATCGATTTATAATATGTGGCAGTAGCGCGACCTCTGAGGGAATTCTCGCACCTCAGCTCGATGAGGTGCGAGGCACAAACAGGAGAGAACGCACAAACAGGAGAGAACATCTTTTCGACTAATGACAGTATGCATTTTTTGAGCTTTATATGGTGACAAACGTGCTACGCCATGTTCGGTCCTGTTTGACTAGTAAGGAAGTCAAATAGAATTTCAGGCTCTCATTACAAGCAGTTTTGCCAGAAAATTGTTTTTCTAGGTCACTTATGCCAAAGGCATTACAGTAAGTGTCTGCAGGCGATTTAGAGTGCTTTCAAACTCACTTTCAGTAAGCAAAATAGTTCGCTCTCCACCGGATTCGAACCATCAACCTCTCGCCTTCAATGTCAGCAACTAACCGCTACATTACTGCACCACCAATGCACATAGCAGCGCCCTCAAACTCAAGGGACGCCCCTAAGATAGAACGTTCAGGCTTCCATAACTCTTTTCAGAAGGGCGTTCCGCAGAAATGGAAGGCAGATTTGAAATCAGCGTTCGAAGCTGCTTCAGACGATATGCATCTCATATCAAAAGGCCACGGCCATTGATAGTACTTCCCGTGTGAGAGGAGATGTGACATATCTCGTTACTCTAAATATCTTTCTTTTCTTTTTCTATCAAGGTTATCAAGGTTATGAGGTTTTCGTACCCCGATATCTGCACATATTAAGTGCCAGATTACGTACAAGATTAGATTCTTACTATTGTGTGTGACCCCCAGCTCAGATAATCGACGGGGGCAGGCGTTCCGCAAACTCGCGCTTTTCTGCAGGCGGTCAGCAAAATTTTGGGGCATGGCAACCTTCAGTTACTCCCGTGTTCTGCCAGCGAGCAGCAATACAAAATTTTCTGCAAGCGCTCGTCAAATAATCTCTTTCAACAAGCGCTGGCCAAACGTTCAGGGGGCGCTCAGACTCTTTTTACGCAGTTTCGGGCGTACGCCTAGCACAAGGAACACTCTACATAACAGAGGTGCCATCGTTGGTTTGATTACCCGAGTTTGAGGTAGTTTCTCTCAGTGGAAGGTACCTCCTGGCTGTGCGGTCCTTCACAAAGCGCCGTGCGGCCTTCAATAATTTCGCATATCCTCGCGGAAAGTCCGCGAGAATGCGGCCACTGTTCCGCAACTAATCTATGAAAAAGCCGCAATTGTTCTCCGAGCATTCGTCCACTTTTAACCAATATTCTTCCAAATACCTGTAAGCGGACCGCAAGAAATCACGAAACTATTTTTCCGGCGCCCGCCTGCCCATAAATCGCGTAGCCGCCTGCTCCCGGCGATAATCTGAGAGGGTTCTCCCGGGGATGCCCAGAGGATCAACTTGCAACTTCAAAGTCATTTATGTTCCTGAAACCTCAATAAAAACGCTGTAAAATTGTACTGAGGATATACTTCGGCATTGCTAAGCATGTTTCCGACAGGAAAAATGGAGTTTAAAAATTGTGAATTAGTCGATAATCCCCAGCTCGCGACCAGCGGGTCATTTGAAATTTCATTTATTTCTATCATATTTAGCAGTACCATATTATATACTTGGTACAATTTTACAGCGTTTTTTAGTTCAGGAAGGTAAATGACTTCGAAAATGGGAGATGGCCCTAGGAATCGCCTGGGGATCACACATAATAGTGAAGATCTAACCTTGTTCGGCAGTAATCTGGCATTTGTTATGCGCAGATAGAGGGTACGAGAACTTTCATAAACCAAAACCAATAGAGAAAGAAGAAGAAAGGTATCCGGTCAAAAAAGTCCCAGAGAACTCCAACTTGGTGACTTGAAGGAAGAAACATAATGCTTACTCAACAGGGAAGGATGCTTAGTGCAAGCAATTCATAATAGTTTGTATATCAAGAAATAGCCTTTTAATGCTGGTTCGGACACCGTTTTCCATATCTGCGAAACGAGAATGATAGAGATATGATTATTTTTTCAAAAACGAATTGCGCTACTGCGGAAAATGAAATAATAAATAATTTTCTTTCCTCTTCAAATGCTGAGTATGGTTTAGATAGGTGAAATACAACGTTACGCCTTTCAAGATCCTCCTTAATATCTTCAAACGGTAATATAGATCAAAGGTGATTTTAACTACCTAAAAGTACGCAAATTTTCTACGAAAAAAAGTTCATAACTGCCTTTAAATGATCGTTTTGTAGATGTCGAGCACAGCTTTACAATCAGCAGTTTCGAGGTGCACTCATGGTACATATCGCATTCCACATGGCCGCGGTAACCAAGTATCCTTTTCTTGCTGGATAATTGGATGACCCGGCTTCACGTGACATGTGACCAGCACAGAAGCTTCTATTTATCCCTGTTCCTCGCCTCAAACATCCACGTTCTTCTTGGTTGACGTCGGTGGCTGCGTCCACGAGTTCCAGGTGCGAAATTCGTATCCAGCTGAATTCTCATCCTGTCATCCATTCAATGAACACTTCTGCCCATCTCACTGGAGGTCTTCCTCGGGGACGTCTTGCTTTGCGAGGAATCAACTTTGATGTTCTTGGTATTCATCTGCCGTCCGTTCTTCTCATAAGATCGGTCCATCAATGCTTCGCTTTCGCAACGTATTCCTCTGGGTCACGAAGACGGGACATTATGCGCACTCGCACGTAGAATTCGTGGTGGTACTTCTTCAGTGGGAACAACGGGCATCGGCACGGGTATTGATGAGCGGAAGAGGTTGGTATCAAAGTTCTTCGCGATAGATTCCATCTTGTCTCAGGAAGAAGACGGAGTTCCGTCTTCGTTCGATAGTGCAGCCAGCGGCATGTGATATTCACAGATGTCCCTCTGGCACTTCTTGAGACTTCGTCTTCTTCAGTTGCTTCCAGTATCTTGGCTTGCCCATACTTCTTGAGATCCTCCTTGACTGTCCTGCAACTAGAAGTGGCTATCAGTCGATCTAAATGAGTTGCACTCGGATCTTCCCTTAGCAAACTTCTTTTTTCGAATAGTTCCTTGATGGTCTTCAAAATGCGTTCCAAATTCTTTTCGGAAGTCACTGAGGCGCACTCTCCGCAGGCTCGCGATCTTTGAACGCACCCCGTCCACCCAAATCTTGGACTTCCGTGTTGTTGTCGCTTCCGGGCCTTCTGAAGGCCCTGATTTCGAATATGAAGTCGAGAATCCCAAAAACCCCTATTCTGGAGAAAGCTTGACGGGTGGAAGTGCAGTTTGCAGGGCTGCGGCGCGGTTATTGCCCGGCGTATATCATCGCCGCAGCCCCCAAAGCTGCAAAATGGGCGTAGTGACCAGCTTTGGATCACGTATCACGTGGTTTCCACTTCTCGCTCCGGAAGCAATCTTTTACGGGGAAACTTGGGGTTGGCCTAGTGTAGAGGCCCACATTAGTATGCCATTGAATCTCGTGAACTCTCACTTTGGGTGGACGGTGCCCTTAACAAGCCGATCGTAATCGTACATTGAATCCTTCTTGATGGGACAATCACAACTTGATATGAGCTCTTAACCTGTCACCGTCATGAACGACATTTCTCCTTTTTGCGACACTGTGGCGCATCTTCTTTCCAGCATTCACTGAACCGTAGCTTCGCTCGAAGGAGAGGTGATCGGAGCCAGCCATTGCAGAAGGACGGAACTACTGAAACATCTAGCAAGCTCTAATTTCGGTTGATGAGAATGTGGTCGACCTCCGCGTGATTCGTCCCGTTAGGCAATTCCCATTTTCACCGGCATTATTCTCTCTTCATGAAGATGAATTTTCCGTAATAAAAAACTTGTGCAGCAGAGAGCAGCCCAACGAGACATTTGCCGTTTTCGTTCCGAAGCCCATACCCAAACTTTCCGATCCTATATTCCTTTTCTAATGTGATCCCGATTTTGGCGTTGGCCACCCACAACAAATTTGTAAGAATACTTCTTGCAGACGACCTCCTCCACATCTTCGCAAAAAGCATCTAGTTCAGAGTCGTCCGCTGCTGATGTCGGAGAGTAGCAGTCAATGATGCTGATGGTGCTGATGTGGAGGTCGTAGTTGTAGGATGGCTAGTCGAGGTGATAGGATCTCATACGAATTGAAAGATGAAAGATAGATGGGTGGACGACAAAGCCAACGCCTTCAACGTTTCGTGATGGAACCTTCTTACCACAAATGAGTGTCTCCTTGCTCATCTGTCGCACGTGCTTCTTCCTATACCCCGTTTCTTGCAGAGCGATGACGTGGTACTTGATGTACTCTGCAGCGTCGAGAAGACCGTAAAGGTCGGCGTTTTGGAGACTGTCCTGGCGTTGTAGGTGCAGAGCATGAGATAGTCTCCATGGCTGTTTCCTGGGCAGACGTGTCATTCTTGTCCGGTCAAAAGGCGCCCTGAGGACCCTAACATCGTTCTTACTACCAACCGGCGCCGTAGATGGGTTCCGATGAACAAGATTTCATTCACATCTTCTTGCTGACGGTGTAGTTGAAGTATTCCCTTACAAGAGCAAACTTACTAGACTACTCTTGATTTCCACGGGGCGATCGCTAACCCTGATGTGGATTGTAATTGTGACTGAAAACCTTTAGTCACCAGTTTTTAGCCCAATAGGACAAAATCCTAATTTCGAAGTTTCAGATAAAACCAGGTTTCATGTACTGGATAATGAGGACAAGTTACTGTATGCAGAAATCAGCTTTGTTACGGTGCAAACTGGGTGCTAATAGCGTTGCTGACAGTTCATGGCCTCCATAACTACTTTGCGGCAAGGCAAGTGTTTGGATAGATCCCTCATCCGAGCCACGCCGACGGTGAAACCCTCGGGATGAAGGCTCCTGTAAGCGCTCCACCTATCAAATTTTGCAGTTCTCAAACCAAATTTGAGTCAATTATTCAAAGTGCTCACATCTGCTTAACTCTTCTTCTATCAAGAAAGTTCGAAGCGCTAGGTTTGATCCGAGCGCTGTAGTCGAGTCATTCTATGTGACTTTGCACTATTAACTTGCAAATGAGCATGTCCTGCAAGCTTTTTCGAAAATGGTTGATAAACATGCAACTACCATTGACATTTTTAGGCCTGGAAAACAGCGGACAGTGAATGCACAAGCAGATGTTTGAACTGTAACATCTTCAATGGTCTGAGACTCATTATACGCAGGCGCGCAGACGTCAGAGCTTAACTCCAGTGTGAAAATAAAAACTCAATGTTGAGGCTGATATCCGAAACGCATATGAATATGGCTATTCCAAAAAAAGAAGAGAAGGGTCAGCTAGGGTCACTTTCGGGTCAGTGCTACCATAGTGCTGCATCTGCTAAGTGCTCTGTTTTTGAGCTATTGGAAGAAGCTCTATGAAATGCGTAAACCTGAGGGGCGTTAAACATCTATAAACCATCTATAAACTTCTCAACGACTTCGTCAACGCAGGTGTTCGGCAAGATGTTAGTGGATCTTGTTATCGCAGGACCATTTCGAGAAAAAAATGGGGGAATGGAAGCTGCACTGAGGCTTGCACTTCTATATTGTTTAGCTGTCTATTGCACTAGTATGTGATTATTTGCCCTGATTATCATGCAAATGTCAGATTAATGATTACGCTACCATGTTGTCCGATACATGACAGATAAAGCATCATGATTTATTCTGATGCTGTCAACATTGACTGGCATTACTTATTAGCACATCGCAAACTATGGAAGATAGATTGTCCCAAGATCTACGAGAGAAGGTTCTGAATTGCTCACTCGAAAATCTCCCACTTCAATTGTCTTTGTCTTACTGTCCACTCTATGCTAAAAATACTTGGAATCGTGGAGTTTCACATGAATAATTACAAGCAATATGAAATTTGCGCTTACATGTTTCACACAGTTGTGTACAATATCAAGATACACTTCCAAATAGTTGTCGGCAAATCCGTCGCTAACATCTCCACTATACATGCTGAAACTCATTCGAGGATTATTGTCGCGATTTCTTCTTTCCCTTTGTCTCAGAAGATCATCTTGTGACCATCTATCCCGCTAAATTGAGCCATTGTTTACAGCGGATGTTATGTGTGTACGTGACAACATCTCACCTCCATGAGAAACGCATGCACCCATAGACGGTGATCCTTACGAAGTCGTCTATTCCGTTGGAGCCGACACACCAAGTTAAATCTCACGCCAACAATGGCGCTATCGGTAATCGCAAGTAGGATTGCTTGCTGTAAAAATTTGAAGAGCTCCAAAATTTTATGCGAGCACCCAGCAAGAGGCTGCTGACATAACTTACTCCAGCCAAGTAGACCATAAGTCTCATAACGTATATTCTTACAGTTGATGAAAAAGGACAGTTCAGGAGATGAAAACTGCTGGAGAGCACACTACGAATACGATTGAGGCAACCAGCTATATCATGGCAAACTTCAATTTTCTCGTATCATTTCGATTATGCGATTGCTCTTTTGCGGTCATCTCTGTCTGTCCGTCACGAACATCAGTCAGTAATGATTTACATACCTGAAAAGAATGGGAGGTTTGCATAACAAGGGAGGTTAACTTTTAATTGACCCAAAGGCGGTGCCTGGGCAAGGAGTCGATTTTGAGATTTTGTGCTTACCTATGCTTAATCGCTATGCTGAATCCAAAAAATTAAAAAAAAACCTTTGAGCAGAAAAGCGTTCTTGCTTCTGCTAGCTACCCTAACACAGCCACAGGCTAGTGCGGACGCTTGACTTGAGATACAACGGGGAAGATCGCTCTTAAAGGCAGCTTCCAGGCAGATCTGGACCTATGGGGCTTTTACATGGAAAGTACTTTTGGGGCCCTAACTAAGGCACTGCCGAAGCAGCAGCGCAGGTAGGCTCTAACGGCTGAGAAATTCCCCTCGAAACTGGACCCCGCGATCGTATTCGCATGGATTCATGACAGTTTCGCGCCAGGATCCACGCTTTGCGCCATGAATCCATGCGAAATACGATCGCGGGGTCCAATTTTGAGGGGAATATCTCAGCCGTTGGAGCACTACCTGAGCTGCCGGTTGGGCAGTGGCTCAATTAGGGCCCCAAAATTACTATCCGCGTAAGATCCCCATGTGTCCAAACTTACCTGGACGCTACCTTTAAAACTGAGAGAGTGACCTCACAGAGTGGAAGGCTCTGCCCATTTGAGATCGACCTCTTGCCCGGACACTGCCTCTAGTCGCGATATGAGTGATGGAAATCAAATTATTAAGTAGAATGGGAGCCTCGGTGTCAGAACGTAAGTTCAATAATTTCTGTAAGGTGGGCTTTACTGAGTTTGGGGAACATTCCAGATATGCAGGAGCTGTGTTCCATGCACTGCAGCCGCACTCATGCGGTTCTGAGCGGCGTTAGTTGGAGTAAGGTTTTTTGCCGTTTTTAACGGGTTTTCTCAAATAGTCATCTTGGTCGCATCCTCTAATCCGCTCACTCTTTTAATGGAAGGAGCCTCGATCTTGGTGCAAGTCGGGGAATGAGCACAATTCCCCTCCTCCACCCCCCCCCCCCTCCCCACGTACTCAGACAGTCGCCGGAGGCAGGCGGTCTGCAAACTCGCGTTTTTCTGCAGGCGCTCAGCAGAATTTTGGGGCGTGGCCATACCTTAAGCGGGCGGCAATTCCTTTACTGATGTTCTGCCAACGGGCAGCAACACAGAATTTTCTGCAGACGCTCGTCAAATAATCTCTTTCAGCGAGCGCTGGTCAAATTTTCAGCTGGCGCCCGGACGGTTTTTAAGCAATTTCGGGTGTACGTCGAGCAAAGGTGAGACTCTACATGGCAGAGGAGTCATCGATGGTTTAATTACTCAAGTTTGAGGTACTTTCTCTCAGCGGAAAGTACCTGGGACCGGAAAGTATGCAAAATTCTCGAGGGCCGCACGGTCCTTTGTGGAGACCGCGCAGCCCCCAGGTACTTTCCGCTATGCAAAATTCTCGAGGACCGCACGGTCCTTTGTGGAGGACCGCGCAGCCCCCAGGTACTTTCTCTCAGCGGAAAGTCCGCGAGAATGGGCCACTGAACCGCAGCTAATCTGTAAGGAAACCGCAGTTGTTCTTCAAGCATTCGTCCAAAATTTCGCTAAAACCAAATATCTGCAAGCGGACCGCAAAAAATCAGCGAACTATCTTTCCGGTGCCCGCTTGCCCAAAAGTGGCATGGCCGCCTGCCCCCGGCGATTGTCTGAGCCGGTACGCATTCTTCCTTGGCAATTTTTGTTCAAACTTACTCTGTCCCAGAAAACCGCTGTGGATTATCTAGAGCCATCTCTCTTGAGTTAGGACTGCGAACAATTCTAAAAATGTGGAATTCCAGACTTTTTTCCAGTTTACTGGCTTTCACTTTTGGGCATTCTCAGCCCCTTTCTTTTCTCCATATCATTGCTTCCGTTTTTTCTTCTACCCCGCTTCTACTTGTGGTTACACAAGCTGCGAACTTAAAGCTGGATAAAAAATAAACGCTGTTATGCTTTATGTATCCGGAAAGATGGGTCTTCGTGCGCTCGATTTTCTCTCCGTTATTTTTATCCAGAACCCATGTTCTAGAAAGCTGTCTATGCCCCTTCCTACATGACTACGCAGCGGCTTCTTGGAACACAGGAAGTTAATCTGAACGGATAACGAAGGCAGACTGGACGAGTTAATTCCTTTAGATAATTGTCTATTACTCTTTTGAATTAAAAGAATGGAGTTGATTTCTGATTTAATGCCGGTCGATTATCCGCAGTTATGCGCACTTCACAGCAACAATTATTGTTATGCTTCAGCGGGAGAGTCATGTTTTGATAGAAACAAGAAAACCCAAAGGATTGAGATTGGTTTCACACATACTTGAAAGGCAAGGCGAAATTTTTGAGCTGTTGTAAGCAGCGCCATGCCATGCGCACAAATAAATTGTTCAATGCTTCCACTGAATTCCAACAGCGAAATATTTATCAAACGGAGCGTCACTTCCGCTTCGCGGAGGTTCGCACTGACTCTGCTATTCGTTTGCCTTTCTCGTGCTCGCATAATGATGAGTTTAGAGCTCACCACGTGATGCTGAACATCACAAATGAATTGTAAACAACTGTTCATTCTTGAAGAATCTCAATCTAAGATCGATAAAGGAGGAAAACTAAAAAAGGAACACATGCGAATGTGAATGGATTACCGGATTTATTTTGGCTTGAAGGTTGTCATAAAAATAATATTCACTTGAGCTATTTTTCAAAGTGCAAAAGTCTTCCATTTTTTTGAAGTAAAACCTTGCCAAATTGACTATCTACGCGATCACCACTTTTCGGCGCTGTTTCAGAAAAGCAAACGTTTTGAGCACTTTTAAGGGCAGAATTCAAGGAGCGCAGGTTCACTTTTCGGGCAAATCATGAGTGTGCAAAAAAGTCAAATTAGCGACCTAGTTTTGCGTGCCAAAAGCCGCGTGAACCCGTTTGACGCGCAAATTTTGAAGGACCAGCTTATCGAACGGTTCGCCCTTGTGCATAGTGGACCTACATGCTCATACGGTATATTATGCAAAATTGTAGTTCAATAACTTGGCTGCAGTTCCCTCTATGACTTTCGTGATAAACAAACGTACACACACGCACAGAAAGAGAAACGCTTAGCGCTTTGTTATAAGTCACGATACCAAAAATAACGACTTAAGCACGTATGTACGTACATCCCCGCTGAGGATAGGAGGGTATCATATCTTGCTACTTTAGATATCTTTCTTTTTCCTTCTCTATCTTGCTTATAAAGTTTCTAGAACGCTTATACCTGCGCATAATGGATGCCAGGTTACTGCCATACAATGTTGGTTTTTTGCCATACTGTGTGATCATTTGGGAATCCCCTGTGGATTCAGGGGTCCCCTCTCATTTTCAAAGTGATCTATTATTTTGAAAAGTCAATGAGAACGCTGCAAAATTGTAGTGAGGATATACTACGGCACTGCTGACCATGTTTTCGACAAGAGAAATGGAATCTGAAGATTGTAAGTTTTTCGATAATCCCTAGCTCGCGAGCAGTGATTCAGAGAAGATTTCGATGTCTTGAGATTTCACTTATTTATGCTATAAACATGTTTAGCAGTGCCTTAGTAATCCTCAGCACAATTTTGCAGCTTTATTATTGTCTCCCCAATAAGATAAATCTCTCGAAAATGAGAGGTGATCCCCTGGGGATTTCCAAGAGATCACACAAATTGGCAAAAAACCAATCTTGCATGGAAGTAATCGCCCTCCGATATGCGCAGGTGTACGGGTATGAGAACCTTTATAAGCAAGATAGAGAAGGAAGTAGAAAGATATTTACAGTAGCGAGATATGACGTTTCCCCTCAGATTCCCTCCTCTCTCCAGTGGGGATTGTACGTGCATACGGGCCTTAGGGCCGCATGCACTAACATCCCCGCGGGGAGGGGATCGCAGCTTAAAAGAAAGCTTTATATTTTGGAACTACAGATACCTGGATTTCACGTTTCGTACCTATCCGTAAGTATTCCTACTACCCTTCACTATGAACATGTTGAAGAGGAGCGAGAAGCTGTACGAACCGCATTTTACACTTTAGTATGATCCCTGATGATCCCCGGCGCTTTTCTTTGAAGTCATTTTTCTTTCTCCAAAGTTAACGAAAAACTTCCAAAGTTGTGCAGATTATCTAACCCAACAGTGCTAAGCATGTTGCTGATAAGAACAATTGATGTCTTGAAGTCATGAAATTTTTGATAATCCACAGGTCGAAATTTGAGGTTTACCGAAAAATTCGATTTTTCAAAAATTCATTTGCTCTTATCAGCAACATGCTTAGCACTTTTGGATTAGACGGAAAGTGCAACTTTAGAAGGTTTTCGTTAATTTCGGAGAAAGAAAAATGACTCTAAAGAGAAGCGCCGGGGATCATCAGGGATCATACAAAAGCTGGGAAATATGGTTCGTACAGCTTCTCGCTCCTGTTCAACATGTTCATAGTGAAGGATAGTAGGAATACTTAGGGACAGGTAGACAGCGTGAAATCCGGTTATCTGGAGCTTCAGAATATGAAGCTTGCTTTTAAGCTGCGATCCCATGTTAGTGCATGCGGCCCTTGGACTTAGACCCAGGTTTTCGACTGTATGCGTTCGTGCGTATTTCTCATTCTTCTCCGAGAAGCATTTATGTGATCATGCTTTGAAGGCAGCGTACAGGCGAATCTGGACATATGGGGCTCTAACCTGTATCGTAATTTTGGGCCCTAACTAAGCTAGCGCCCAAGCAGCAGCTCAGGTAGTGCGTTACCGGCTGAGATATTCGCCTCGAAACTGGACCCCGGGATCGTATTTCGCATGGCTTCATGGTGCAACTCATGGTCCTCGCGCGAAATTGATAGGTTGCGCCATGAAGGGGGGCGCCCATTACTTGTGGGTG